CATTAATTAGAAAAACAATTTTTTTTTTTAAATGATTTTTAATAATAATTCTTATAAGTAAAGATAAATAAGTAAATTTTTATAAGTAAAAGCTATGAATTGTATCTTTTTTAATATTGAACTGTTTTAAGAATTTATTATATGAATGAAGTAACACTGCATCGCAAAATAAGTCAGATCCGGGAATTTTTAGTGTGGGTGTGAGGAGGAATCGGGGCTTGTTAAAAATTTAGTTTATTTTGTATCACATTTTTGCCTACTGAAAAAAATTAAAAAAATTTAAAGATATTTTATAAATTTATGGATTCTGGTGCGGGGTGGTAGGTTCATACCTCTCATTTCCCCTGGTTCTGTCACTGGTTTTAAAATAATAATAAATGTATTATTTAATGGAATCAATCAGAATTATCTAAATAAATATTTTTATTATATGAAAGAAATATATTTATTATGGTATATTTGTTTACACAAAATTTGTAAACAAATATACCATAATAGCAGGCCTTGTTTTAAATAAAAAAGTGCTTAATGCATTAGCTTAACGCGATTTTGACGTCATAAAATTATCTTTATTTTTTTTTATAGACGTTAAGTGTTTTAACTACCACAATAAATAAATAACCGCAAACTAGTTCAATTTAACAACTAGCTCAAATATAAACTATAAACGTTTTAAATATAATTTTATTATGAAAATTTTGTAATGTTTTCCATTGTTATTTTATTATTAATTTTGGTTCAATATTATTTAGTAATATATATATATATATATATATATATATATATATATATATATATATATATATATATATATATATATATATATATATATAAATTATTTCTGAAATTTGTTTTTGAATAATTGTTTTTAATCGTTATTGAATAAAAAATAATAATGATTTTTTTATTTTTAAAAATTTCTAGAGTAAACAAAAAAAATTAACATTGATAAACACAAACCCATGTTAATTATTTAAACAACGATTTTGTTTTGACTAGCAAACAAAAATTTAAGTTTTTAAATATTTTTTAAATTAATAAAAGCGTTTCAACTTGCGTTTTATAATAATATAAAAAAGTTTTGTCTGCTTTGAGCATATTTTTGATACGTAGTTTAGAACGCGTTCGCTAGGAATTTAATTCATAAATTTTTTATGTTATTGTAAAAACATTTAACTTTTTAAAAATATCACAAAGAAACAGAAAAATTGTTTTCAACGATTAAATCTTTTTTATTTTATTTTAGGAAATTAAAAAAAATTAAATTAAATATAAAAGACTTAATTATGCAAACTCTTTTGTTAATTATTCTTAAACCAAAAAAACAAATACTATTACACCAAACTTTTATCGTGCAAACTTAAAAAATACTCAACTGAAATAATTTAAGTATATTTAAAAATTTGAATCGTATCTGTTTATAATAAACTTTCGTAAAAAATTTTGTTTATTAAAAATTAAGTTCCTTAACTTATAAACAAACTCAAAAGTATTTTCATTCTACGTATAATTACAAAACTCTTTTTTTTTTTTTCGTTTGTAAGCAGTTTAACTTAATAAAATAAAAAAAAGAATAAATATGAGGTAATCTTTGTTAAGAATAAATTTAATTTATTTATTGAACTATATTTTTATTTTTAATTATATATCAACTTAATTAAAATATAGTAACATGTTAAAATATTATAACATGACTTGTATTATTTATAAACCGTTGGGCAGATGCCTATACGGCACTATTGTTTTTGGATATTATTTTATTTTGATGAAGAATCACATAACTTACATTTGATTTTAATAACGTAAGTCTTTGATCATCGCATCGGCAAAGCATCGGCAAAGTCCCAAGATTTAAAAGTTTTTAAAATAAATCTTTTCTCCTTCAAAATACAATCCATATTCGAACTTTAAACAATTTAGAGATAATAGAAATATACAAGGTTTTTATATACTAGTTTGTTTTTTTTTATAAAGAAAAATACATATTCATTAGTAAAAAATGGAGACTGTCATTAAACTAAAACGTGCCTTAGTATTTATTGAACGGAACCTGTAATGTGCGCGTGCATAATAAAACCTCCGTTATATAAATATATTCAACGTAATATTAGTGTCATCAGCGGATGTTGTAGTCTACTCATGATTTCTTTACCTTATAATATAACTTGATTTATGAAAAAAAAAAAAACTTATTGAATTGCACACAGAAGAAATTTAACAAATTGTCTTCATTCAAATATTGCGAGTAACAGGTAATTTTTTTTTCTGTGTCGACCCCCTCCCCCCGCATAATTTAAAGGTAAATGTATCTATATACCTTTAACTAATAAGAAAAGCAAAGAGATTTTTTTTAATATCTCGAAAAAATGTCTTGATATTTTTGTCATCATGATAACAAAAATATTATGACATTTTTTGAGATATTCAAAAAAATGTCAATTCTTAATTACAAATTTTTTTGCAAATGTTTTTTATTATAAATTCAGTAAAAAATTCTTAAAAAATCTATATTACAAAAAACATTTATATTCTGTATTAATAAATATGGAATATATTGATTTTTTTAAAGTTTTTTTACTAAAAACTTTAAAAAATAACTACTTTTTATTAAAAAACATTGCAAAAAATTTGTAGTTAAGGATTGACAAACAATTTTTCATGTTGCTAAATATTTGGATAAAAAGTTTAGTGTCAAATTAATTGCTATAAAAAGGAAAGATATATCGCGATGAAAAGTTACAACAATTATTTTTAAATTAAATTCTTTTTTTTAATAAATATCTTTACATGCCGTTATTTAAAAGTTAATGTGGTTTTTTTGAAAATTAGTTACTTCTTTTATGTTACCGCTAATTTAAAAGTTAAAAAATGATAAAAAGTAGCTTAACCAAAACAGCTCTACGCGTACGTAAAAAGCGCTTAAGGCGTACGTAAATCGCTCTAGGCGTAACGCTTTAAAACAAGGCCTGTAATAGTTTAAAAAAAATCCAAAAAAACCTACACCCAAACCAAAAAAACGCCAAAAAAACCAAAAATTGTGTATATATATATATATATATATATAACCAAAAAAACTCCAAAAAAACACGTTTTTTTGGGTGAAAAAAACGCGTTTTTTTGCAACACTATATCTACACACATATATATATATATATATATATATATATATATATATATATATATATATATATATATATATATATATATATATATATATATATATATATATATATATTAGACTAGTTCAAAATTTTTTTTTTTAATAGTTAAGATATAGTTTAATAGTGGCTAGATGTTTAAATGTTGTTAATTGATAAAAAAAAAAAAATGTTAAAATCTCAAAGCATTATTCCAACATTTAGTAACAGTTCAATTAACTTTACTTTTCAATGGGGTTCTAATATTAAAAAAAAAAAGTCCTTTAAAAGTAGGTCAATCTAATACTCAAAAGAAGCAAATCAATATATAAATTTCAAAAATAATTGTTTTATAAAAATATATATATATATATGTATATATATATATATATATATATATATATATATATATATATATATATATATATATATATATATATATATATATATACATACATATATATATATATATACATATATATATATATATATATACATATATATATATATATATAAATATATATATATATATATATATATATATATATATATATATATATATATATATATATATATATATTTATATATATATATATTAAAATTTTTTATTTTATTAAAATCCTGTGAAAATGCACTTTTTTTATTTCTAGTTAAAAAACCATAGTTTCTATTTAATTAAATCTAAAATAATAACTTATATATAATAATTTACATAATAGTAAGAAATGATTTTTTTTTATTTTTATTTTTATATAGTTTCGCTACTTTAGATTATTTACTCACTTTAAGATCCAAAATGGCTTTTGAAAAACTTATTTTTTCAAAATATTAGGGACCTGTTAAAAAGTAAAGTTAAATGAGCTGTCCTTAAAATACATTATTTAAGCTTGCAATTTTGAACTGATTTTCCAGACCACAAACCACATCAAATCAAAGAGTAGTCTCTCTCTCTCTCTCTCTCTCTCTCCCTCTATATATATATATATATATATATATATATATATATATATATATATATATATATATATATATATATATATATATATATATATATATATATATATATATATATATATATATATATATATATATATATATATATATATATATGTATATATATATATATATATATCAGCCCTCGGAAATAAGAAAATTGAGGTCGGCAATAATTTGCCAACCTCAATTTTTTAGAGGTTGGCATCAGGTCGGCAAATACAAATTTCTTTCCATAAAACATCAAAACGAAGTCGGCAAAACTGAATTTTTTTTGCTGACCGCAAACATGTTTAGGTCGGCATTGCCGAATGCCGACCTAACTATTTAAATTACATTCACAAACAATGTAGTGTTTTGTAGAAACAAATATGTCTGTTTTAGACATTTTGGTTTATATAATAACAAGATTTTTCAAATTGATTAAGTTAGAACAATGCTTATTTCCACTTTTTTATAATAAATTTTTCCATAATGTTATCTTTAAATTTAAAAATGGGATTATTAAAATTTGTCCTAACCACACCATAAAGGTTAAACATAAAAAAATAAAAAATCTTCACATAATGTCAACATAAAAGTGATTCATCAGTTTATTATTTTTAATTTTTGAAAGTATAATACATCTAAGTATGCATGATTTTTCAAAGTTTTAAATTTTTAAATTTTTTCATATCTTTTTAATTTTTTAATAATGAATACTACTTCTAAAATATTTTTTGTTCATTTATTTTTTTCCCAATTAACATGAACATTTTTTATATAGAGAAATTATGCCTCTGACATTTACAGGTTAATAATAATTAAAAGACACAATTTATTGGCAAGATTTTGTGTTAATTTTATTAATTACATTTAAATGTTTATTAGATCACAGGCTGTTAAAGTTGTACAAGGCTTATTAGATGGTGGTTATATTGCTTGTGTTTATGCTAATGAAGAAAATGTTTTTAAAGATGAATACATGCTGTACCAACCTACAAAGGTTAGATAATTTAAATACCAGTTGACTAGAGTTTTATGATTTGTATACCAGGTTACTAAGGTTAAATAATTTATAACCAATCTTAGTCAACTTAATTTATATATATATTTACCAACCTGTTAAAGTTTTTTTAGATTAAAATACTTAGTTAAAAATATCAGTTTATCAATATGCAATTGGCTTATGATAAAAAAAAAAAAAAAAATTAATTAACAACTAATATGAAGATTTTTCTTTTTTTTCACTTTTTCTTTACTGGGTGACTCACACTATTCCTTCATTTTAGTTCTACATGCAAGTATAAAGTTATTGAGTGTTTAACTTAACTGACTATAAATTTTTTCAACAGTGCACATGAAAAATGGGTTTGCAAATAAAATAAAAAAACTTGTTTATATAAATAGTGTTATATTCTCTAATTAGTTATGTATGTAAGTCCATAATGAGTTTTCTACTGGTGGGTTCTATTTTTATGGTTATCATATTTAATCAATTGTAATAATTTAATGCAGAATTATGTGCATTTTTGATATTTTTTTTATATTTTCCATATAAATTAATAACATTTTGTATATACAAACAAATCTGTTAAAATTTAGTTATACAAACAAATCTGTTAAAATTTACTTACGTGTTTTTTTTAGTTTTTTTTTCAAAGCATATTATTTAAAAAAAACAACAACAAAAAAAAAACATGCTTTATTTTTATGTTTACAAGTTTTATGTGTTTTACTTCATTTAGATGGCTTTAGCAGAAGCTGAAGTTGCAACCATGAGTTCTCAGCTTCCTAAAGATGATGTTGATCTAACCTGTTTAGAGAAAAACTTGACTGATGATGACGCAGAAGCACCGGAGTGGTTAAAACAAATTACTCATTCTGCTATTGAGGTATTATTTTTTGAATAATAAAATAAGTTAAAATGCTAGATTTATTTGACTACATTTCAATTTTCTCTTTTACACATATGCTTGCACACATACACACTCACACACACACACATACTCACACACACAATAATGGCTGATCAACAATTAATGATTATCCACTTTTGGAGAAAATGATACTTTAAACTCCCAAAATTAATTTTGGCTAATCAAATTTGATTGTCAACATTTGCAAGTCAAAGTTTATAATAAAAAATATTTAAAAAAGAATCTTAAAGTTATTAAATTAACATTAAAATTTAAAAATGTTTATGATAGTTAAATTAAACATAGTCTTAAGACTATAACAATCTTTATTTCATTATAAAAACAGTAATTAAAAAAAAGCACGAAATTTATATTAAATAAGCAAAAAAACTAAATAATAAAAAAAAATGTTTTTGATTGATAGAGTAAACATAATGTTGATTTTTTAACTGTTTTCAGTTTGAAAGCTAATTAACTGTAAATGAATGAGGTGAATTCTTTTGAATAAAATGAACTGATAACTCCAGCTTTCGTTCCAAAATCATAGCTTGATTAATCTCTTTTACAGCCTGTGGTCCAGACAACATTCTATCATAATCTTAAAAAAGGGTTCTCCAAAACTTTCTTAAATTCTCACTAAACTATTTATTAAGTTCTTGGCTAAATCTTGTTTTCCTGCCTGCTGAAAGATAACTCTTGTGGTTCGATTTTTTAAAAATTCTTGAGAACATTCTGACCCCTCATCAGTCTATTTGATCAGTCTATCTGTTATTAGCAAGGTCTTTGAGTCTTTGATCAACAAGTTTCTAACATCCTATCTTGAGTCAAATAACTTGGAAAGTATCTGAGAAAGTTTTTAAAATTATCAAATCATTTCTTACTAACCATTTATTAAACTCATCCTTAAAGTCCAACACTCTTCTTCATTTTTTTTAAATGTTAATTCACCTCCCTAAAGCTGAGAAGGCCACTACAGACAAGGAGGCTATTTAATTGCGGGTATAATCCTCACTTAAATCTATAATTCTGAAACACAAATCTTGACAAACAAGACTGCTGCGCGGAGAAAAATTTCCCAGTAACTTCTGGGGTATCTCAAGGTTCTATCCTTGGCTGGTCACTCAACTTTATACTCCTGTCTTGACAAAAAGTCTTCTCTTTTCAACTGTTTAGATCAGGCAGCCGATCATGAATCTAATCTCACTTCTGAAACAGATTGAGGCTCGCAGTGGCTTGTAAATTTTAACTCCAACAAAACTCAGTTAATTATTGCAAACAGCTATCACTATACTGTTGACATTCCTGTACTGACCTATATATATATATATATATATATATATATATATATATATATATATATATATATATATATATATATATATATATATATATATATATATATATATATATATATATATATATATATATATATATATATATATATATATATATATATATATATATATATATATATAAATATATATATATATATATATATATAAATATATATTTATGTATATATATATATATATATATATATATATATATATATATATATATATATATATATATATATATATATATATATATATATATATATATATATATATATATAAAAATATATAAAAGTAGAGTGCACATTGTTAAATAGAGAAGTTACATTCGTAATAAAGTACATCACGCATAATTAATGCAAGATGTACTTTAATTTGAATTTATGCGGCATAACTTTAAATTTAAAATGGTATATTTCTTCTATTTCTATGCTATGTTCTGTAGGGTTATGACTTTTTGACTTTTAAAAAAAATTAATTTTTTGTGTCAATGATGAACTTTTATTAGAAAAAGTTGAAAACATGTTCAATTCCTCTCGGTTGTAAAAAAAGGTTACCCCGCAATTCAAATTATGTTTTGTCATTTATTTAATCTTGCTACTGCTACTACTAATACATGTGGCTTTCTTGCAAATCATTAAAACTTATATAGATTAGAAGTATTTAGAACTTTAGAACATTTTGAAAAAAAATAAAATGTTTTAGAAGACTTTAGAACATTCTAGAACAATTTAAAGTATTTTGGAACATTCTAGAACAATTTAGAACATTCTGGAATATTATAGAACATTTTAGACTATATATAGCTTTTCATCTAATTTTATAGTTATTACAGAAGCAACATTTTCTTGGTCGTACAAGCCTAGCAATAATAGCATTCAGAAGAACAAGTCTGGACCAATAATTTGGTAAAATTTGAAGATTCTCATAAAAGAAGAAGAATAGTCCCTTTGTAAGAATATTCACTGGAAGAAAAGTGCAGAATGCCTCTCCAAAAGTAAATTATCAGACGCTACCATTTCCTTGGACCAAAAATCAAAGGAAAAAAGGAGCGAATACCAGAAATTTCCAAAGAAGTCAGCAAATTGTGGAAGAATAAACTAAATTTTTCTCACGTATCTGATCAAGTTATATGAGTAAAGCTTGATAAAATACTGAAATGTTTTGATGAATGTGTCAAGCAGGGAAGCTACAAACCCTTTGATGAAATTTTTGATATTACTAAAGTGGATGGAACATGGTTATCTTCCAAGGACAAGCAATTGTACCATCTCAAAATAGAAATCAAAGGAACAAAGTGGTATACTGTTAAAGTGGTATACTCTACAAGCTAAGTGGTCAGTAAAGAAAAGATTCATCCCCCTAAAAGACAAAAACTTTCTAATGAGTCATCTAACTCATTAGAAAGCTTTCTTACTATCCTGGTTTTAGTGATTCTGACTGAGGCTTACAACAGTGAATATAAAAATAATGAAGAAGATAAGACAACTACATTAAACAGAAAGCATCATAAAAGCAAAATTGCAGTCAACTTGGTGACCTCCACAAAAGTATCAACAAACAAATCTGCTAACATATGCAAGCAATTGGCTCGTAAAGGCATTGACATCCCAACTCCATGTCAATCAGTTATTTACAAGTCAACAATCAAAGAGACAATTAAGCTGAAGGAAGAAATAATTGAAAAGTTGCATATGGAAAGTTGGTCCTTACACTTTGACAGCAAGCACATTGACAGAATGGGTTATCAAGTGGTTGTCCTTAAAAATGAAAGAAGAGAAATCAAAATGGATGTCCTTGGCTTGGTAGATAGCAGGGCTTTAACTATTGCTCAAGGAATTTCTAAAGTCCTTGATGAATTTCGCCTATGGAATTCAATACATATGATTGTTGCAGATACCATCAGCGTTAACACTGGAAAAAAGAATGGTGTTGTTGTAATATTACAACGAGTGTTCACAGAGAAACGCATCAACAAACCTCAGGTTATCAGTTGTCAATGCCATGTATTAGATAGAATCCTCCGTTTGGTGATGGATGAAGAACTTGGAAGTAAAACACAATTGCCAAACATCGAATATCCATTTGCATCTTAACAGTTGAAGGAGTACGAACAACTAAAAACACAGTTTGATAACGGAATAGAAGTAATTCTTGAAACATCAGGCTGGAGAGATAATATCAAACGTAAAAACGTAAAAATATATATATCAAATGTAAAAAATTTATCAAATTAAAACTTTACTTATAGCTTCAATTTCTTTCAGGTTTGATCACATTCTATTAATTAATGACTATTATATTTAAAATTCAAAAACATCAAAACATTGGAATCAAATATTCAAGCTTATATTAAAGTCTATATATTAAAAATATTTAGTTATAGCTAAATGAAACTAAAAATTAAAAAAAAAAAAAAGTTTCAATAAACAATATGTTATATAACTTTGAATTGAAACTTTTGGAAGCGTGATCACAAACATCAAAATAAAAAATGTAGCATCATTATTTTCATTAACGCCTTTATCAAAACATACATTATTTACAATACGTGTATAAGTTATTTATATATTATATTTGTATAAGTATAAATATACTTACACTAATATATATTATATTAGTATAAGTCTTTTATATATTTATTAAGTATATAATCAAGTATATAAAAAATTATTCACTTTATAATAATTAAATTGTGCATTCAGTTAAATTAGAATGCAGTTTTCTGTTTTGTTCTAACAATGAATAGAAAGTTATTAAGTCATTACTGCTAACAGATCGAATAGAATATTTACTAATTTCAAAATGTTTCGTCCCAATGAGAATAGAAAATTTAAATTAAACAATTAAAACTTGATTGAATTTTGAAAAATCAAAAGTTTTAATCCACAAAGTTTTGTAATAACGTAAGATTCTTTTGATTTATTGTTTTTAATTTTTCACACATCTTTTGTAAATAAAAGAAATATTCTAAACCTTATTATTTTTTATTTTTAACTGTTTTTTATTTTAAATTAAATTAAAAACATTTCTGTTGTTTAGAATGTAGGCAATCAAGCATGCTAGTTCAACTCCAATAGGAAACAATATTGTCATATTATGTTATGTCATGTTATGTTCTAAATTTTTAGTAAATGGCGATATTTCATTGTTTTTATTTAATATTAAAGCTGCAATAGCATAATTTTTCTGGTAGATAAACAAAAGCATTAACTAAAAAAACAATGTTTTTTCATCTGATTTCCTGGACTTCACATGAAAAAATTCAAACAAAAAATTGTTTACCCTTTCTCTTGTATGCACTAGTACGCTTTTGAGTAACCCTGTCCCCATACTTGCATACATAATTTATGGGTGGCCCAATGGCAACCAATTTTCAACTCTGAATATCGCTCTCAAAGACTTGATGCAGATTCCGCATAATCGATAACATGTTTCAGTGTTACAAGCGCGAAATAATCTTACTGGGTAATATATATATATATATATATATATATATATATATATATATATATATATATATATATATATATATATATATATATATATATATATATATATATATATATATATATATATATATATATATATATATATATATATATATATATATATGTAGAAAATAAAACTTCTTGATTTTCACAACTTTAATTTTCATACTATTGCAATCATCAGGTAAAACATAAATACAACTGCTCTGACTAGTTAATGCACTTCAAAACTGCATCACTACAAACATTCATACATATATGGGCTGTTCGGCAAGAAAGAGGGGGAAAAAAAAAATCAAAAATGTTAAGAAAACGCACTAAATTCCATAAGTCTTTTTTTTAACTATTTAAAAATACTTTTAAGCAAAAAAGTTATTAAAAAAATCATTTTATTATACCAAAGCATGGTTTTAAAATTGTAAAGGTTTTAACATTTTTTAACGTTCATTTACAATCCTGTTGTGTAGCATTAAAAATCGTATCATGAAGCCACTAGTTTTGCTTTTCTTTATAACATACTGCTTTTTCAGATAAAAAAGAAAAAAACGAAGAATAATGAAAAAAAAGATTTGTATTCCAATTCAAACTTTAAGTCGATGTTGAGACACTACAATGCAACAGCAGGCTATAAGATAGTTGATGTATGTACTGAAACCCAGGGTAGCAGGCTATTTCAGTGTGATGTCACACTGAACTTTATCTAAACATGCATTTATAATTAATATATATATATAAAACTTGAATTTTTAGAAATTTTGAATAATTTTAAGAAAATAAAAAACTTAAATCATTTTTAACACCACACAAAAATCATCTGCTGCAACTCTTTTTAAAGGTTATGAAAAGTGCATTGCCCTAATGCGATGTCATTGTAAATAAGGCTGTTATGCAAAAAATTATACTTTGTTTGATTATTTGTTATGTGAGGAGTTTTTAAAACTGATTGAAATTTATTTAGGATGAAAATGAATCAGCTCATCCTGTTCCTGGAGCAAAAACTGTTTCAGGTTTTGTTTAAGCTGTTTTTGTTTTGTTATTTTGTTATTTAACTAAACATTCACTATACTATGAAACAATTTAATAATAAAGTGCAATGAAATATCATGTAACTAAACAATATAACAATAACAGTAAAATGCAATAAAAGGTTCTTTTTATGTTATTCTTATTATAAATTTAAATTTTTTTAACATATTGATAGCCTAACAATATATATATATATATATATATATATATATATATATATATATATATATATATATATATATATATATATATATATATATATATATATATATATATATATATATATATATATATATATATATATATATATATATAGTATGTATATATATATATATATATATGTATATATATATATATGTATATGTATATATATATATATATATATATATATATATATATATATATATATATATATGTATATATATATATATATATATATATATATATATTTTTTTTTTCATCAGCTCGTTTATTAGATTTGGATCAGGTTCCAAATGATACTGACCAGAATAAAACAGATTTATCAATTCAAATGAAGCTAAATGCTCAAGTTGTAAGTTTTTATATTTAATATTTTAAATGGTTTCTCTTGGAAATGTCTATAAAATATAATCATGATTATTCACATCAAATTTTTCAACTCATTTTTTAACGAATATTTAATTTCAAGATGAGATGCTGTTTAATTAATTTTTTTTTTCATACTCATAATCAAATTTAATATTTAATTAGTTTATACATACGCATAATCAAATACTCATCTTGGGCAGATGTTAAATGCATCGGGCTACTGTCTTGTAAAAGGCCTCCTAGGCAAAAACTTAAGGAGTAAACAGATTCTATCTGTTGATCAGCCTTGCACCCCTTTTTAATCTATTAGGCTGGCACAGATGTATTTTTATAGCATTGTTTCCAGTTTAGAATGTTGAACGCTGGATCTTCTTGACTCAATGCATGGGTTTTGCTTGTGTCTCTAATGAGGGTACAGCTCAATAACTCAGTTTTATGGTTCTGAGGCCGATTTTAATGCTCATCACACTGAATAACTTGGCTTTAGTGTCAGTAACTCTGCTGACAATAAAACCCTAAACTTTTTGCCTTTCTCATTCCCTAACTCAAATAGTCAACTTTCCAACTTGCTTTCCAGACAACCCAAATCATTTACCTTCTCTACTTGATCTATTTCTTGTTTCTGATCCTAGTCAGTGCTCAGTTTCTCCACATTCACTTAGGTGCTTCTATTTTTCTTCATCATCTGAATCCCTCTATCATTGTACCTCTTATAACTGCCTTAAAGCTGACTGGGACTCTTTCCGTGATTTTCTTTGTGATTGTCCTTGGGTAGAAATCATTTGTATTCCTGCTGACAAATGTGCTTCTCACATAACTTTGTGGAGTCAGGCTGATATGGAATCTTTTATTCCCTCTCAATGATTCCAGGTTAAGCCTCACTCTTTTCTATGGTTTTTCTCACATTGTGCTGCTGCAATTTCGAAACCATTACTTCCATATCTATAAGCAAAATGATTCTCCAGAAAACAGATGTCTGTTTACTATTGCTAGAAACCATTGTAAAAAGGTTTTGTCTAACACCAATGCTTGCTATTTTCAGGTCATCTATTATTTCAACTCTCTTGTACGGCTCAGACTTTGTCATCTCACCTAAAGACAAAGCTAAATTATTTGCTAAGAACTTTCCATCCATATCATCTCTTGTGTCCACTAGTTGCGATCTACCTGATTTTGCTGTCAAACATGTTGATCTACTGCTTGACATTCATATCACTCCAGCTTCTGTATCTAAAGTGATTTCCTGCTTACACTCTTTTACAGCTTGTGGTCCGGACAACATACCAATTTTAGTTTTGCAAAAGTGCTCTCTGGAGCTGTCGTCTATACTTTAAAAATTATTTAACAAATGCTTATCAGAGTCTTGTTTTCCGGTATGCTGGAAAGCAACATCTGTTATCCCTATTTTAACTAACTTGGTAGTTTTTATGTTAAATACTGCATATAATTGTTTCTTTTTAGTTTCTTGCTAACTTTTTTCTTTTTTTTGCGGTGTGTTAAAATATTGTTTTACATATAAATAAGTTTTGTCTACAGGTTGATGATGACAACAAAGAGCCGTTTGATCAGGTTCCACAAATTTCCTTAATTACTAACCAACCACCTGTTCCATTAGATCATTGGACTTTAGTTGATGTAAATGAACTATCAAAGAAAAAAAAAATTGCTAAACAAAACAGTTCAGCAGTTTTAAACGAAGATGTATTACTTGGAATATTATTTCCACGGCCAAATATAAAAAATGAATTTCAAGAGGACAATGCAGAAAACTCCAATAATAATTATTGTGAGCGACTTGCTAAAGATAGATTATCGTAAGTAGTATATTAATAGTAAGTTTATTTAACTTTGGTACATATTAATAAAAAATATATTTAAATATTGTTAAATCAAGTTAGTATATAAAAATTTTAAAAATTGTATAACTGTTATATATATACAATTGTAAATTTAAACTGTTAAATTATAACTATTATTTTATATATAAAGTATATAATGAATATAAATAGTGAATAAAAAAAATATATTAGATTGTATACTAGTTTAAAAGTTAATGAAGAGAAAAATAGGAAAAAATTGGAAAGAGAAAATCGGAAACCTAAAATTATACTATATCAAACATAATTTATCCCTATACTTTGCTAAATTATACCAAAAATAAAAAAAGTTGTTTTATTTTTTATTCTTATAGTATTCTATTCCATTTTCAGGCTTGATTCAATGTTGATTATATTATTTATACTAATCATTATTATAATGCTAGGTAATAGATAATACTATTTAAATGCCATTGTATGACTGCGCAAATAATATTTGGTTATGATGATTTATCCATGGCTATTAACATTTGAAAAAAAAATGTTAAAAACTTTTGAAACTTTTATTTTTTAAATGTTTTTATATTAATAAAATGCTTTTGAATAAAGTAGCATATTACTGATAATGGTTTTTATTTAAAGCATCAATGAAAGTTCTACAACAAGTTTTATATTTATAGTATATAAATTTTATAATTTAAGTCTGTATTTTAAATGTTATAAAAATCTGCATTTTTGTAATAAATTAAATTAAAAATTAAATTCAAATTTTTTTTTTAAATAATTAGTTAATAAGTTTTTATAATAAGCATTGTTAGTTTTTTGAATTTTTAGGTTATTTTTTTACTGTGGTTCTTCTGTGTGTAGAACCACAAAAATTACTGAAAAGTAATTTCAGAAAGAAAATTTTAAAATTTTTAAGTTTAAAAGGTTTTTAGTTTGTTAAGGCCTACACTTACTATGTTTACACTTACTATGTTTATTAAGGCCTACACTTACTATGTTTACACTAACTATGTTTACACTAACTATGTTTACACTAATTTGTTTACATATGTTTTTGAATCTACTCTATAATAATCTTTGAATCTATTCTATAAATCATTTCTTAAATCTATAGGTTCTTAAATAAGTAAAACCTGTTAAAAGGGTTAGAGTTTGTATATTAATATTTAAAATTTTATCAATTTATATTAAATCAATCAAATTAATAAAGCATTTATCAAAAAATTATATATATAAATTTATATAATAATGTTAACATAAAGAATTGTCAGATCAAAAACAAAAAATTTATATTTATTAATCAAAAACAGCTGATCAAGCCAATGATAAATTATGTCACTAGAATTTTTTAGGATATATGGTTCAACACTACAAAAATCAAGTGAAACCCTAACTATAATCTTTTATAATTTTTATTAAATTAATTTATCAGAGCTAGGCATCTCCTAAACTTTTAAAAGCGCTACCACTACGTTCCATGGCGTTTATGTTGATTAAATGAAAAAGGTCCATAATCATGGATCTTTTTGCTCAATTTAACAACTTACAGCTTGTAATACAGATGCCGAAAACATGGAAATATTGTTCAATTGTAAACATTAGCTTCATATCAGAACACCAACCTCAGGGCTGCCTTTATATTGTTTGCTATCATAGTCTTCCTATTTTGGGCATTCCATATTCCCTGGGCTTTTAAAAAATATCTTAGGATTCAAATTCCAGCTTGACACTCTCTGATTATCCTTACAAGCTAGCCTATTTATTGTTTAAGCCGCACAACAGAGTTGGTTTGGTAGAATCATATCATTATGCAATAGAATGATGTCATTATTGCAACTTTTTAGAATTTCCTAAAAGAAATGCGTTAAGTTAACCAGTTAACATAGTTTGAACCATTGTCTGTAGTTGTTACATCAACATGAGGATCAAAAAAATCAAATGTAAAATACCAATTTTCAATTGACTGCAACACTTCTTAACTTTGAAAAATACATTCTATATATAAACAGTTATCAGTTGATAGTTTTTGAAATAAATTACTTCTACTCACTCTCCCGTTTATAATAAACTTTTGATGCAGGTCAGACATGACGTCTGCAAAGAGCTTCTGAGCTTGGGCTTCTATCAACTCCTTGAAATTGTTTTTGATTTCCATAAAAACCTCCTTGAAATGACTTCTTAAAATTGATTTTGAGAATATAAGCAACAACTAAAAAAACAATTAAATAAAAATATTCTGAAAAACTGTAATTAAAAAGTAAGAAGCATTATTTTACATGATGAAATTTAATATGCAAACAATATTGAATACATTGCATCATTTATAATATATCCCAATTAGAAAATTGTAATTATCCTACAATTATATTTTTAAAAGTTGCTGTTCAACTGTTTAACTAGACAAAGTTTACTTTAATAAGAAAAAATAGAAAAGTCTAGATTATTGTATATCTTAAATAATATAGTAAATACATCATATTTAAATCAAATTGAACACATTTAAAATAATTTTGATAACATGAATCAGGGTTGGGGTCAAATACATTTGATAAAATACAAATACAAAGACAAATTTATCCTATATTTCCAAATACAAGTTCAAATACAAATACAAATAGTATTGGGTATCAAGGTAAGCAATCTGACATCATACTGAAATATCCTGCTGCCGGGGGTCTTCAGAACATACATTGACTGACAAATAGCCTGACTCGCAGTGGAGTGCTGCTACAACGAATGAGGATTTGGCATGGGGCAGCAATAATTTTCATTCATTATTCTTCGTTTTTTCTTCTTTTTTTAAAAAAGCTGTATGGATTAAGATAAGCAGAATAAGTGAGAAAATGCTTATATAAATACGTTATAGTAGATATATATATATTTAATCAGCATCTTCAAAATACAAATACAAATATTTGTACTTTAGTTGAAGAAAAATATAAAAGACTTTTCAAGACAAGACTGATAAACTGGTCTACTAAATAGAAGAATGAAAATAAAGCTTCTGACTAATATCCTTTAAAAACAAACTTTATTTTAGTGTTAAAAATGAAAAAAAAAAAAATTAACCTCATGGTATTTCCCAAAAAAAAACCCGGTTAACCTAGTTTATGGAATATAAATCAAATAAAAATACAAATACAAATATTTAAGAAATTTTAAATATATATATATATATATATATATATATATATATATATACATATATACATATACATATATATATATATATATATATATATATATATATATATATATATATATATATATATATATATATATATATATATATATATATATGTATACATATATATATATATATATATATATATATATATATATATATGTATACATATATATATATATAAATATATATATATATATATATATATATATATATATATGTGTGTGTGTGTATATTTATATATGTGTATATATATATGTATATATATATATATATATATATATATATATATATATATATATATATATATATATATGTATATGTATATATGTGTATATATATATGTATATATATGTATATGTATATATATATATATGTATATATATATATATATATATATATATATATATATATATATATATATATATATGTATATATATATATATATATATATATGTATATATATATATATCAGGCCAGTAACTTGGGGGGGGGGGGGGAGTAGGGTGGCTGTTTTGAAAAAACGAGTTGATTTCAATCTGTACTAAATTTATGGTTTCGTTTTTTTTCCATTAAAAGTAGTGTTGTCTCATGCTTTTTCAAAATTCTGAGTTCTTTCAACAATAAAAACACAATAATTTGCAAAAACAACAATTAAGTTTTATTGCATAACAATATTAGTGCATAAAAGCTTTATTGTTTTTTTCTAATGCTTACCGATAAAACTGGTTAAAAAAAAGTGAATATAACACATCTATAATAAGAAAATATTGTAGTACACAAAATTTTACTTTTGTCTTATTGCATAAAAATTAAGTACTTTTTTTAAGTTTTGTTTTTACTGTTTTTTTTTAAGCATTTGTATTTACTTATAAGTATTTTTTTATTCCTATACATTATTAAGTTTAACATGAATCAAAAAAGAAAAAAAAAGAATGTATAATAAAAACTAAAAAAGTTGAACATACTATTGAACAAAAATATAATAAAAATGTTGCCTAAAATCAAATTTCAATACATCACCAAGCATATTACATCAATAGACTTTTCAAAAAAGTTTTGATCAGATGGATGAGCAAATGTTAAAGGGTATGCTATTCTGTTGTACAGTAAGGTTTGTTTTGCCGCCCATGTGCTTTGTTTTTAAAAAAAAAAGATGATAAGGGGTCTTTTGTTAACAAACTCTTTAATAATTGGAATAAACTTAAAAAAAAATTAGATTATCACAAAAATAGAGTTTACCACAAACGTTTGGACAAATTTTATACTGTTCAATCAACACTTGAAAAGTTTTTTTTAAAGTTGACAGTCCTCTAAGTAGAGAACTTGCTGAACAAATCAAATACAATACACAAATTTTGAAGTGTATAATGAAAGCTGTTATTTATTGTGGAAAACAATGTATACCTTTGCGTGGAATGGTTGAAAATGTAGATAAACTTGGAAATGTTGGTAACTTTCTTTCACTGCTTAAATTAATGGGCTAAAAGTGAATTGCAATTGCATTTGTTCAGAAATGAAAAATGCTTGTTATATTCCAGCAAAGGTTCAAAATGAGATCATCTCAGTTTTAGGAAAAGGTATAGCACAAGTTTCTATAATAAAAAAAATAAAAGAAGACAAATCATTTTCTGTCATTGCAGATACAATTAATTCTCACCTACAGAGCAACTATCCCTTGTATTAAGATTTGTTGATAAGAAACATGAGATATGCCAGGTGTTTGTGGCATTTTTAAAGTTGGAATGTGTGAGTGCGGAAAATTGTTTTTGGCTGAAATTAAGCAAACTTTACATGTCCTTAATTTGAATATTGAAAGTATGAGAGGCCAATGATATGATGGTGCAACACCGATGGCAGATTCGTTATCAG